AGCCAGTGACCATCGGCCCAAACACCTTCCCTTTATCACTGATATGTCTTCTGCCCTCGACACACACACGACTGCACACCCTCTCTATTCTCTCTTGCTGATCCCAGGGATTGAAAACCACCACACACACTCACACACTATCATAGTTTTCACACACCCCACCCACAAAGATCTTTGATTTCATTGCTCTCTATATCTAAATTAGTTTTGACTTCATCCCTCTCTGTCCCTAGATTAATTTCTATTTTTTATATGTGTTTTTGATCCATGACCCAGGAGTCCGTCGATGGTTATGCCCATTTTGTATCTCACATCAATTTATGTAAATCAAAATTGTGTACGTGCATTTTTTAGTGCTCTCATACCTATTTTCTATAATCAGCATGTCTCTCTTTAATTCAGTAGTGGATGAAGTTTTGTCAATGTTAGTGCTTCTCTGTAATTGTAATAACAAAACTAAAAATTATTATTTTGTTTGGGTTTATTTAGGTGGCTCAATTGAAGATAGACGTATAATTTCTTTGGACATTGCTTAGGTTGACCTCTTTACTGTTGAACACTTGAACTTCTGTGCCTTAATGTTGAATCTCAAATTAGGTATTAATTTCAAATTCAGGGCCTAAATTCCTCTAGGATTTCCACTGACAATAATTTTTATGTAGACTAATTTTGTAGGTTTTTTTTTTAAGTTTGCTCTATTGGTTTATTTTATAGGTTTTCATTCTTCTCCTATATGTGGGTGCAGTTGTGTTGGGAGAGGGTTATGTGGGTGTGAAATTTGATATTTATGTTATTGGGTTGTGGGTGTGTTTTTGTCCTTGCAAATTCAATAGACAATTAGGTATTGATTATGTTTTATTCATTTGTGAAGTTATATTTTCTAGATTTTGCTAGACATGGGTGATGTAGGTGTGGGTAAGCGATGATTGTGTGGTATGGAATTTGATATTTTTTATTGTCTTTCAGGATTGCGTGGGTGGGTTTTCATTCTTCTAGAAGCTTTACCTGGCAATAATTATGAGGTATTTTGATGATTTTCTAACACTATTTTTTAATTAGACTATAATTTATTACTATTTTCTCTGAAAAGCTTGAATTGTTGTATTTTTAACAAAAGCAGTTGTTGGTTAGGAGGGTTTGCCAGTACCAAAAAAAAAGAAATGTGTATAGATGTGTTTTTGTGTGTAGTTACTTGTTTGGGATTGGACATTTGGTTTTTGAATGGTGCTAATAAATTCACGAGTCGTATAAATGAGTAAGATTTGGTTGATTTTATTTATTATTTGAAGATTATGAATTTAATTATGTTTTGTTATTATTTGTTTGTTTTTGTTTGAGGTATTTATTACATGGGTTGGATTGGAAATTTGGTGATTGAATTTATAGTTATGTTGTGATATTAGATTGAATGGTGGTAGTGGTGATGAATTTATGAGTCTTATAAATGACTAAGATTTTATTTATTACTTAAGATTGTAAATTTTATTAGGTTTTATTAGTATTTGTCTTTTTCTGGCTATTTATATATGTGGTGTTGTTTTGGGGAGTTCTTTGTTCATTTTTATGACAGTTTCATTAATATGGAGGATATAGTTGACAGCATATTTCAGGTCATTTTAAAGTAAAATTGATATGAATGTTTTCAACCCATTCTTTCTGAATTTGAGTAATTGCTTATTATTTTTTTTGTTTGTTACATAGTGCATTTAGTCAAATGCAATAACTAGTTAATCAATAAGTTCTAAATATTTAAGATTAGCTCTAAAAATCCTCGAAAATAATCCTAAAAAATTGAATTTGATTTTAAGTATTTTGAATCGATTTGATGAAGCACGACTTTAGATTTACTTCTATTTTATTTTTATTTTTTTATTTGTATTATTTATTTAGAATGAGAGTTAATTAGGAATATTTTAGAGTTATTCACCGCCTAAACCATATCCATTTTCCTAATTTGTTAGACATGTAGTTTATTGTTTTAGGTAACTTTTTCAAAGTTAGGGATATGTTTCCATTTTGGAAACCTTAGGATTTTGGGTTTTTTGATAAATAATCATATGTACTACGATTGTATGCAGTTAATGAATTGAATATTATAATATTTTGAGAGTATTCTCTCCATTTTCCTTATGGATTTAAAGTGTTTTTGTTCTTTACACTTGGAGGTGGTGATCTCTTCGTGCCTCCGTTTACCATTGTGTCATAATTTTAAATCAATTATTCTAAATCCTACCTTTTTATGTTTATTTCGTAACTTGACCAATTCTCCGGACACTTGCTTGCTAAAACTTTAGAGAAATCATTGTACTATGTAAAATTTTATGAAAAATTACACTCAGATCCCTTGAGATTTGTCATTTAATCAATTAAATTCATTGACATTTGAAAGATTACATACAGATTCACTGGAGTTTGTATGCGCGTAACACTTAAATATTTGTTGTCAATGTGCATTAGTATATCCGTTAGTAAATTACAATCAGACCCCTTGAAGTTTATAGATGTATAATACTTAGACCCCTCAAGTTTAAAATGTTATACTTAGACCAAAAATATTTCAATCAAAGATAGAATATCAAATATTTTAAATTTTGCAAACAAAATTCATATTCTATTGTATCATTTATTGAAATAAAATAAAAATAAAATTTTAATTTTTTCTTAAAAAAATCATAATTAGTATACAATTATACTATCTATTGGAATAAAATTAAAAAATCAACTAAGGGGTCTAAGTTATTTGTAATAGAACATGAATTTTACAACAAAAATTCATGTTCTATTATGTCTTTTATTGAAATAAAATCAAAAATTAAAATCAATTTTTTTCTTACAAAATTATAATTAGTATACAATTATACCATTTATTGGAATAAAACTAAAAAAAAAATAAGAGATCAAAATATAATGGACACAATATTTTCTACCTTTAATTGGGGTAATTTGGTAGTTTAATTTGGTCTTTTCAAACGGTCAAATTAAATTTCAATAGATAGTATAATTGTATACTAATTATAATTTAGTAAGAACAAAATAATTTTTTATTTTTGATTTTATTTCAATAAATGACATAATAGAACATTAATTTTGATTGTAAAATTAAAATATTTGATATTTTATCTTTGATTGAAGTATTTTTGATTACCTTAACGATATAAGGTGGTGTGTCCATTCCAGTTTAACCCCTTGTTTATTTTTTAGTATTATTCCAATAGATAGTATAATTGATTATAATTTTTTAAGAAAAAAATATATTTTTAATTTTAATTTTATTTCAATAAATGTCATAATATAACATGAATTTTGGTTAAAAATTTAAAATATTTGATATTTTATCTTTGATTGAAGTATTTTTTTGTCTATGTTTAATATTTTAAACTTGAGGGGTCTAACTATTATATGTTTACAAACTTAGGGGGTCTAGGTGTAATTTACTTATGAATATACTAACACATATTGACAGTAAGTGTCTAAGTGTTACGTGCGTACAAATCTCAGGGATTTGTGTAATATTTTAAATGTTAGAGAGTCTGAGTGATTAAGTGACAAAACTCAAGAGGTCTTAATATAATTTTCCAAAAGTTTATTTATCAGGCCTATCTTATACACACTAGTTGGTCATGCACAGTTTTAAAAATAGAAACGTCATAGAAATTTTCTTCTCTTTCCCAACTGTTCATCGAGTCAACTACGCATAATTTCTCCAATCCTTACAATCTCATTGCAACAATGATGCATACCCTCTGTTAACCTAGTCTCAGAGGATCGCTCTCTCACCCCCCCTCACCCCAACACACACACATATTTCTGGTTTCCATGGAAATTGCTATTCACCCCATCCCTTGCAATATTGCTGAGTTTTTATTTTTCTATAAGGATGATATACAACTACAGAAATATATGATGTGTGAGAACCATCTTATTGGGGCCAAGTAGAAAAATTACTGTATGATACATTTTTGGGAAAATCTAAAGTACTATGAGATTCAATTATAAATTCAATTAGGTTAAAATTAATAATCAATGAGGTCAAAGATCGATTTTAAAAATATTTGGAACTAATCACAAAAAGTTGAGGTTGATAAGTTGTTTCAGATCGATCTAGAATTGGTTTCTACTAAGTCGTAACCTGTAACTTGACCTATTTTTATATAGGCTTGTCAAAAGTTGAAATTATATTATCCAAAATTTCATTAATCAGGATTGCTCTATACCCACTAGTTCATTAATCATTAACCAAGTTGGCATAATGATTACACTATTTTTTATTAATCTTGTCTCATGGGATTATGCCCCTTGGAAAGAAAAAAAAAAGGAGCAGGTGACGGGTTGGTGGGAATCTTGCAAGTTAACCACTTCCAAGTTAAAAGATATTATAATTTGCAAAACATATTAGAATATTTTTTATATAGTAGAAACTTGAGTATTAAAAAATAGAAACATCATGGAAATTTCCTTCTCTTTCTCTAATCTTTGCAATCTCATTGCAACAATGTTTCATATCCTCTATTAACTTAGTATCCAAGCATATCTCTCTCTCTCCCTCACATTTGAAAAAAATGGAAACAACTCTATTGGCTGCCACTACCAAGTTAATATTGGAAAATTTGCTTTCGCCTGTAGTGGAAGATATCAGCATCGTATGGGGATTCAAGGAAGAAATGACTAGGCTCAAAGAATCATTGACCATGATTCAAGCCACGTTGGATGATGCCAAGAGACGACAAGTTGGCGATAAATCCATTGAGCTCTAGTTGAAGAATCTTAATGATGTAGGCCACGAAGCCAATGATATCGTTGATGAATTTCGTTACGAAATCCTTTGACGTAAAGTGGAGATTTGAAATCAACTGAGGAGAAAGGTATTAAACTTCTTTGCACTTTCTAACCCAATTATCTTCCATTTTAATATGGCTCATAAAATTAAGAACATCAACAATTCCTTAGAGAGGATCAACAAACAAGGAACTGAGTATGGACTCCAAAGGGGAGTTGTAGAAATGGCTCCTCCTCAAGTCATGGTAAACCATGAGACAGACTCATTCATAAAAGATTCAGAAGTCGTAGGAAGGGAAAATGATTTTTCAAATTTAGTTGAAAGAATAACTAGCCCCAAAAAACAAGAAAATGTCAATGTTATTCCCATCGTGGGAATGGCTGGCTTAGGGAAGACAACTTTGGCAAAGCTGGTATATAATGATGACCAAATAAAGGGGAAGTTCAATGTGAGAATTTGGACATGTGTATCTGATAATTTTGATGTCAAGAGTATTTTGGCAAAAGATCTTGAAATCTCAAACAAAAAGGAAGTGTGAAGTGGAGATGAGGGATGCAATCCTTGAAAATGTTCAAAAAATGTTGGGAGAGAAAAAATATCTATTGATACTAGATGATGTGTGGAACGAAGATCATACCAAGTGGAATGATTTGAAGACTTGTTTGCAAAGGGTTAATACAATCAAGGGGAACAACATTATAGTCACTATGCGTAGCATTCGAGTGGCATCAATTGTGAAGACAATCCCTAAGTCATATCATGTGGAAAAATTATCAAGAGAAAATTGTTGGTCCAAATTAAAAGAAAAAAACATTTTCAATTGGAGGACTTCCAATGACTTTAGAATTGGGGGTCATAGGAAGGAAGATTGCAGAAAAATGTGGTGGTGTGCAATTACCAACAAATATAATAGGAATTCTAATGAACTCCAAGAAAGAAAAACATGAGTGGTTGTCAATTTTAAATGATGGAGTTTGGGATTTAGTTGGAGGAGAAAATAGGGTCCAACCAATACTTAAGATAAGTTTCGATCGTTTATCTTCTTTATCTCTAAAACAACGTTTTGCATATTGTTCAATTTTTATCAAGGATTTTCGCATGGAAAATGACCAACTTATCCAACAATGGATGGCACACGGATTTCTTCAACCACATGAGGGAAGTAATAAGTTAATAGAGGATATTGGCAACAAAAATTTTAACATTTTTGTTGCAAAGTTCTTTATTCCAAGATTTTGAAAGGGATAATTATGGCATTGTTACACATTGTAAGATGCATGATTTGGTCCATGATCTTGCTCAATCTATTTCAAAATCGGAGTGCTTTGTTCTAGAGGCTGAAATAAAAATTGAGATTCTACGTGTTCGACATTTAGCACTATACGATAATGGAGATAGAATTCATGAAATTCAACAAGAAAGTGCTAAAAGGTTGCGTACAATATTCTTTGAGAGTGTTGTACCTAAAAACATGTTTTCGAACTTCAGATGTTTGCCAGTTATAAACTTTTGTGGGCTAATATTGAAGTGTTACCAAACTCAATAAGCACCTTACTACATATGAGGTATCTTGACTTGTCAAACACTAGAATTAGAGTTTTACAACAATCTATTGTCAAACTCTACAATTTTCAAACACTAAGAGTACTCTAATGGGGCTTCAATTGGCACGTGGAGCCCCCCAAGGAATTGCGAAAACTGGTTAGCTTAAGACATTTGTATATTTATGACAATATAGCATGCCGACTCTAGATGCCACTTGAGATGGGGAGGTTAACTTGTCTTCAAACTTTACCATTCTTTAACGTGGGTCAAGACAAGGGCCATCGAATTTATAAAACCTGGGTAAATTTGATTTTTTGTGAAAAATGGCAAAATAGTAATTTGTCACGTCGGTGCGAATTGAAAACTCATATTTTTCTAGAGCTCGGATGACAAAATGGACCTCACCGTTGAATTCGTCTCATGAAATTTAGTTACCCACACAATTTTTGGCGAATTCCGAGACAGTCAAAGTTTTTGTTTTTTACGAGGCGATCGGATGTTGCGTGACCTAAAAACGAGATATAGAATTAAATTTTGAAAGTTAAAAAATAATTTAAAAGAAGTTCATATAAAAATATTTTGAACTTGAACCGAGACGAAATTTAATCGTTTCGGGATGAATCGGACCTGAGAATGGAGAACGTGTGGCGCGATGAGGATCAAGCACGTAAAGGATATAAATAAGGGAGAAAAATCAAATTTCTCCCCGTACCCATCAGATTTTCTGAAAAATCAAAAGAAGAGAGGGAAGCTTCACCTTTTTTTTACGATCTACGAAGTTTTGTTGGTCGAATCGACTCAAGCCAATAACAAAAGTTGTTCTTCTTGTCGAGGGATATGCAACCATACCAAAAAGCACTGATTTAGGTGAAGTTCCAAAAATAGGGCTTGGAGAAATCAAGGGTTTGGGCTTGATTGGAATTCTTGAAGGTTGCTACAAGGTGTTTTAAGCTTCAAAAGGTAAGGTTCTTTTCCTAATTAGGTTTATTTTCAACCTAGGGTTGTATATGATATGAGGAGCATGACTTGAGATGAATTCTCTTGTTTAACGTACTCCTAGTGTAAATAAAGTGTGAGAAATGGGTATAAAAATATGCTAAACCAATTTTGAATGAATTTGGTTTGTAGAATTTACTTGTTTGGTAAATTCATGAAAAATGTAGGTACTTGAAATGTGAAAAATGGGTATTAAGAATGGTTAAAATCAATTATAGCATGAATTGAGTACGTAAAAATTACTTGTTGTGATTTCTTGAGATATGTGATGAAATTGGGCATATTATGTATTTATATGATTTGGTATCTTGAAGGTGTTTGATTAAATGTCTATTTAGATTAAGTGCGTTATTTGCGTTGATTATATTATAACATGTTTGAAATTTGATATTAGTAGGTGCTGGTATATGCATATGATATGTTGACATTGATGTTGTTTATGGTGGTAATATGCTTATGATGTAATTTACCATGAAAATAGGGTTGTTAGCTATTGAATTGTTCATAATGTGCTCATGATATATTGAACATGGTATTGTAATTGGAATTGAGATCCTAGTTGTATAATGGCATGAAATGCAATTGTACATTTATATTGTATAGGCACGGATAGCATCTCATTCATGGGCGTTTGACATGAGTGTGAGTGTGTGTGCATGGTTTGATCAAACATCATTCTTGGTGAATGATATGTGTGGTCGGGATAGTTGGACCGAGGTTCAATTGAGTCTCAAGATTTGCATTGAAAATAGGGTCGGGGTTAGCAAGAAGGGCTAGATTCTCTCTCGGGTGCAAGACTCGGTGATTCGGATACGCACTTCGTTGGTATTGAATCCATAAAGTGTGTCAGCGTACGCAGAGCTGTTGGTGAAAGTTCATTAATGTTGTGTCGGTTAGGTGTCCGTTGGTGTGAGTCCATAAATACCCACCCCAGAAAGACTCCGGATGTAAAAAGGTTTGAATGTGTAACAACAATGGCGGGGGCTTGGAATGCTCAGATTCATATGCATGACATTGCATGTGTTGAGGGAGCCAGTAAAGGCTTGGGTTGAGTTGCATGTGTGAGTGTCATCTCATATCATGGCATGACATTGAGAATTTCATTGTTGAATTGCATATTCTTGAATAGAGTGATAGTTGCTTGTGAATTGCATGTGAGCAATTAATATGTATCTAGGTTGTGGAGTAGTCTCTTTAAAAGATACCCTATTGAGCATGATTCACCTTTTATAGGGACAATATTTTAGATGTGGGATATGCGTCGATGGACGGCTCTCATTCGGGCCCTCATTGATGAAAAAATGCCGAAATGTGGCTTTTAAACTATGTTTTTGTAAAATTAAGATGTCAGTTAGTTTTTGGGCATGAAATTTATGTAAAGGATGTAATCGAATTCATATAGACTATTTTTAATGTAAAATTGTATGTTGTTATACGAGTATAGATAAATAGATTCGGTGTGGTCAACGTTGTATGATTACAGAAATTGTGTTTTGGGTAGAGCTCCCTATACAAAGGAGACTATGTCTGAATTTTGTTAAGCTATGGATCTTGGTAAATGGGGCATAACGGTGTGGTATCAAATTACACGATATTCACGGGTACTCCGCGGGATTGATGGGTGATCAACGGATTAATTACGTACACCCGAATTTTGGGGCATCATAGGTAGCTCTTCCAAGGTTTCAACTTCTAAGCTCAAATCTCTCACACATGATGCAGAAATAAATGAATGCGATGCACCAGAGTCAAATAATATCCTTGCCCATAAGCGAGAAAGTAGAATATACCCTGAATTACCGATTGATCTACTGACAAAGTCTGTGTTGTGATGGCAAAAACTTGCCCTTGGGTCTCTGAATTCCCTGCTTGAAAGTCCTGTCCCCAGCCATGGCTCATGCCCCTGGTACATCTAGCCTGATTGCGGAGTCCCTGCTCGTGAAGTGGAAGGGGCATGTGCCTGAAACTAGAACTAATTTCCCTGACCCATGAAAAGTTCTATCTCTGAACACCTTAAGAGTGGTTTGCCGAAAATCAAGAATGTCAAAGAGTTCTTTACCGTTGTAGGAGAGAGATGACTAAAACTGAGGACCTAATGAATGAATTAACGAGTATGAAATATGACAATATAGGTGGTGTTAGGGATATATCCTTAGAACAGTTCATGTTCAAACCAAGCTCAAAGCCTTCAAAATTGTTATTTATAATGATTTCATTGTTCATCACACTCTTAACTCTTTGCCTCCTGAGTTTAGTCAAATCAAAACGCCTACAATACCCAAAATTAGTCTTGGAAAATAAATGACCTTATCTCCAAGTGTGATTCTGAGGAAAAAAACTTAGAAAAAAAAAGAGTGAAATTGTCTTGTGTTTCCCAACCTAAATTTAGTTTTGAAGATGGGTATCAAGAAAATAATCGAAACCCAAATCATAATGTTCCAAAGAATGGTTAGGATTTCAAAAGGCATGGTACTGGTCAGAATGTGGGAGGTTTTAAGGCTGTCATTCGAAAAGATATCAAGTGTTATTTTTGCAAGAAACGAGGTCATAAGACAAGTGAGTGTACTCGATTCAAGTCTTGGTTAAAAAAGAAGAATAAAAAAGAAAGTAACTCACTAGCCTTTGTTTGCTTTGAATCCAATTTGGTTAATGTCCCATTAAATTCTTGATGGATTGATAGTGGGGCTTCTATTCATGTTGCCATGACTTTGCAAGGATTCACAAGCAAACGAAAACCAAGCGAATGCGAAGCCAAACTTAAAGTAGAAAATAATAATAAAATCCATGTTGAATTCATAGGAACTGTTAGGTTGAACTTAGACACTAGTTTTTCAACTTATTTTAAAAAATACTTTTTATGTACTGTCATTTAGGTGGAGTTTGACTTCAATTTTCTTGTTAAAAAAATTAGATATTCTTTTAATTTTAGATAGTGGTAAAACTCAATTGTCCTTAAGTTTCAAAATTGTTGTTTATTATGTTTTATCATCTGATTTATATAGTATATGATTGGCTGCCAATAACGAATATGGTCTTTCAGATGTTGTGAATGTTGTATTTAAGGGACTTATCATAAAGAAAAATCTTCACAGTAGTTGCATAAACGTTTAGGTGACATTTCTAGAGAAAGAGTGGAAAGATTAATAAAGAATGATATTCTTCCACCCTTTGATTTTGGAGACCTTTAAACTTGTGTTGACTGCATTAGGAGTAAATTGACCAAGTTTAAGAAGAAAAGTGCAACTCGTAGTCTAGATCTTTTAAAAGTTATTCACATTGACATCAATGGACTTTAATCACGTACCTTGTATGGTAATAAATACTTTATTACATTTATTGATGATTTCTCTTGTTATGGATATATTTATTTAATTAATAAAAAATTGATACTCTTGAAAAGTTTAAAATTTTTAAAACTGATGTAGAGAAACGATTAGGGAAAATCATCAAAATTGTTAGGACTGTGGTGGTGAGTATTATGGCAACACATGTTATGCCTAGACAGCTTTTTAGACCATTTGTCAAGTACTTGCAAGAATGTGGAATTGTTGCCCAATATACAATGTCTAGTAGTCCATAATAGAATGATATGGATGAAAAGTGTAATCGCACCCTTAAACACATGATAAAGAACATGATGACTATGTGCAATTTGCCTAATTACCTTTGGGAGAAGCTATTAAAACAACTTTATACATTCTTAATATAATTCATAGTAAATTTGTTTCAAAAATATTTTTTGAATTATAGCCCAATAGAAAACCAAGTCTTAACTATTTTTTGTGTTTGGAGTTGTCCTACTGATGTCAAAATCTATAACCTTTTATGAAAGGACATTGTCTTTGCAGTTAGTATTCTTGGTAGGTATTTTTCTAAACTAGAATTAGATCATTTGGTGGCAACTAAGAAATTTATGAGATACTTGCAAAGGATAAAAAATTTCATGCTTGTTTATCAGAAGATTGATAGTCTTGAGGTGATTGATTACTCAAATTTAGATTTTGCTGAGTGTCTGGATGATTTAAAATCCACTTCAGGATATATTTCCATGTTAACTGGAGGAGCAATAGCATGGAAGAGTGTTAAATAAACTCTCACAGCTTCTTCCACTATGTAAGCTAGATTTGTAGTTTGTTATGGAGCTACAATATAAGCTATATGGCTAAGAAATTTTATTTCAGGGCTTATGATTATAGATTCTATCTCTAGGCCGCTAACAATTTATTTTTATAGTAGTTTAGTTTTGTTCTTCTCAAAGAACAACAAAAATTCTAGTGGGTCTGAACATACGAAAATTAAATATCTTTCAGTCAAGGACTCGGTGAAGAAATGTGATATTTTAATTGAACATATTGATACATGATCAATGCTTGCTAATCCTTTAACCAGGATACTAAAACCTGTAACTTTTAAAATACATGTTGACAACATGAACATTTTTTGGGATTTTTTGAAGTACTTGGTTAGTGGGAGTTTATTTATGTGTTAAGAACAATTGTATTGATTTAATTTCATATGTGATATTTATTACTCATTATGGTTGAGATACATCTATTTGATGAATAATAAATATTTGGATAATTACCCTTATTGTTAGCAAGATAGTCTTGTTATGTTATATGTGTGCACATTTATGACATGTCATTTTATATAAAATCGTAACACTTGGTGTATGTCTTAAGTATGAATGTTTTGTCAATGAAGTATGTCTCTATTTGAGAAAATCTTGAGATTTTAAGTTGAAGACGTACTAGCTTATTGTTAAAGCTAATGGATTCTCTAGCTTATTGTTGAAGCATGTTGTTAAAGAGAAATAATTTGGAGGACTGACAACGAAAATAACATGTTTATCAGATCACATATTGATGTGCTATTTTTTTACTACACTACCACATCTTGATCCATGTCAATAGGATTATTATTTTTTGTAATCATGGATTGATCCTATATCAATAAAAGATGTAAAGACTGTTATGATTCGAAAATAGTAGTTTTATTGGACTGAATTGTGTTTAAGATGTTGTCTCAGAATCATATTTATTTTGTGGTCACATTGAGTTCTTTTGTTTGATTAGCCCAAGAGTTGTTTTTCAAAAAAAAAATTTTATTTTATTTTTTAAATGACTACAATTAATGTTGCCAAAGTGGAAGAATGTTGAAATTTTTTTATATTGGACTTCCATTAATTGATAGTTAATTTTAGATTTGTGAAATGGGCTGAATTTATGGTTTAATGAGATGAACCCAATATTATTAAGTGATCTATTTTGATGAGCTTATATACATCTCATTAATTGATTTGGTTGAGGCGGTTAAGTGTAGGCCTTAATCTAATTGTGACTCATAATGGAAGAACCCATTAAATTCATTATAAATAGCAGGTTAGATCCCCTCTCCACTTCATAACCTAATTTGGCTTGTCCCATTGAGAGCTGTTTATTGCTTTGAAGAAAGAGAGGAAGACCTTACCCATCCGTGAATGAAACTTGGAAATCAAGTATCATGACTCACATAGGTATATTCTAAATCTTGTAATTTAGGTGTTTTAAATTTCGTATATGAATTATTAAAAATTCTTACACGTCATTACAATCGTTTAGGTATTAGTCAGAGTGGGGAAGAGCCATAGGCATTGTTTCCTTCTTTGAGAAAATTCTTCTTGTGGGAGATGCCCAACTTAGAAGAATGGATGGAGGCAGCAGACTCGAGCATAATGCTAGGCGAGATTTAGACGACGTTAGAGAGAGAACGAGTTAAGAGGTTGAGTTTTTATTAGAGTGTGAGTTCCTCTACAAACAAAACGACATCGTTTTATTGTTTAGCGGACAAAATGACGTCGTTTTTGCCAAAAATTTGAGTTTTAAAAAAAAGTGATTGAATTGTACGATTCGAGCAATACGAATCAGAAGGTTCAGATGCGATTCAACTCTAAAATGATTCTCATATAAGATACGAATCGTTTTGTATATATATCAAACCAAATCGTACGAATCGAATCGAATCACGAATCGTACAATTTTGATAACTATGATCCTCATTATCAAACTATGATATGTGAGACTCAGCGGTGAGTGGTTGGAGTTCATAGCGACCATCATGCTTGTTCCTAGTAGCTAACAAATGCTTGGCTGGATTTTAGTAAAATTTACCATATTGTCATGTATTTTTCTTAAAAATTCTTTTTTTTTAGGGGTTGGGGAGGAGGGATGAGGTTTGAACCCACAATCACCTGCAGGTAGGAGTGACACCCATTTACCTTGAGCCATATTCTATTGTAGAAACTTCATATCTAACTCCATTTGCTTGATGCATCTTTCAACATCCATTGAGTGCATGCTTCAGGAATTTTAAAGCTGGAATGAGCCAAAAGCATGCAATGCAGAAAGTAGAAAACTGATTACCTCACATGTTAAAACTATTCATCAAAATCTCTTAGTGGCAGAGCATTAGAAAAGATCTGCAGCAAATTAACTACTCTGACTAAACTCACCATCAGAAGCTATCAGGGCTTGCTTCTCTACCAGATGGGTTGTTGCAGAACAATGAAAATCTATTGGATTTTGAGATACAAAGCTGCCCCATGTTGACAGATGTTCCGCACGTGTGGGATTGGGGTTCCTTTCTTGTTCGATTAATAAGAATTAACGATTGCGAGAAACTGAGCAATTTTTCGGATGGTCTCCAAATGCTTATGTCTCTTTAGGCCGTTGCCCAGCTCTCAAGTCAATTCCAAGCATCAACGGCCTCACATCCCTTGGCTATTTGGCTCTTCGAAGTTGTGATGGATTAACATGTTTGCCAAGTGGGATACAATCCTGCACCTCCGTTGGAACCTTGCTAGTTGCATCTTTGCCATAATCTGATCTCCTTTTCAGAAGTACAAGCTCTGCAGTCTCTCTCCACTTTACAAATTTCTTCTTCTAAGAAATCAACTTGTTTGCACAGGGGGTTCCAATATCTTACCAGCTTAGTCGACTTATCGGTCGGTCCTTTCTCAGAGGAGCTCAGTTCTTTCCCTAGTCTTGAAGGTGTCCAGCACTTGCAGGCATCCCCTCGCAATGTCAGATTGACTGGATGGCCTCACTGGAACTCCATTCTAGAGCAGTTTCAACGCTTCACTGCCCTAAAAGGTATACGCCTTTCTGGTTTTGGATTGGAAACTTTATCAGATTGGTTTGAGAACTTTTCATCTCTTGAATCTCTCTCTTTCTCTCTATGCGGGTGTGAATCAATAAAGTATTTGCTCCTATTTGGAGCGATGCGACACCTCACTAAGCTAAAGATATTGGAGATTTGGGAATGCCCCCTCCTAAAGGAAAGATGTGCCAAAGGGATTGGCCCCGAATGGTCCAAGATTTCACACATTCCACAAATTGAGATAGACTTCAGAAATGTTCAAGATCAATCTACTTGAAGTTTTTCCATTAAAATCACTATGGAAGTTTCTCCTTTGGAACCAGCTTTTGTCTTTTCTCGTCTTTATATTTTTTCTCACTATAAATTTTTCACTTTGATACAGGGGAAGGAATAAAGAAACAATGAAAAGCAACTCCAACCTTGACTGAAATTTTTACTTAAATTTGAGTAAAAAGGTTGATTTGATACAAAGTAGTTTTAGGCTTCTTAAACTTCGTTGAGGTAAGACATATAATCTAGGCAATCCAAAGAGATTTTAGATGTCTAATTTGTACGAGATATACTTAGTGTATAACAAGTTTTTTTTTTTTGGTCGATTAAATTTGAGTTGATCTATTATTTTGATGGGTTCCTGAAACTCAAGCTCACTAGTTTCTCATCAATTTTACATCGACTTCGCAGGTCGTGTCTAAAATTATCAGACCTAATGTAGTTTCTTTGTTCACGGACTTATAATTGAGTTATGTCGCATTATTTTAGATTCGTTTCATAATTAAGTCTGATCATTTTCCTCTCTTTTTGTAGTTACCATGAATAATTCTTGAATTTAAAACTATTTAAAAACCTATTATTTTTCAACCATATCCATTACACAAACTTGATACTTCTATTATTGCAAATATAACTAGTACATATTGTAGTAGAACCATATTGAAAAGTATTTATTTCTACTATTTTCATATAATAGAAAATCAAGAATGAAAAAAAATTAGATGTTTTTGATATCAACTAGTTAAATGAAATTACTATAGTGCTGTTAAAAAAAATACTATAATAAAATCGAGTCATTTATTTTTTTTTTACTAACATAATATATTTATTATTTGTTTTAGTGGTTAGTGTTATTTTCAGGCTTATATCATATTATGTTTTTGTCTTGCAATGGACTAGGTTAGACTTGTATGCATAGAAGCTTCCACCTTTGGTTCAACCAACTGTCATCCTTATTCACTAGACAACCACTATTAAATTGTAGGTTCTGCATATGTTCTTGAAAGTGATCGAGCACATGTTTTGGTGACTGATCGATCATATCTTGTCGTAATCCCATACAAGGACAATGGTCATAATCAACTATTGTGGCAAGTAAATACATGATTCAAGGTTGCGGTATTGGTCATCGATTCAGAAGACGCTAAAACACATTGTTCGCGTCAGCATGAAAAAGTTGGACGTTGTTAAAGATTGAGGCAACATTAAGGCCTCACAAAACAGTGTCTTGGCAGCACGTCCGAGAAGTCTCTGAGCCAATGATGAGAGAGGTATCCTTTATTAAGCTTCCTACCTCATTCTAACCGGTTATCCCAACTTTATAAATTTTTAGCGAAAGGTACATTCTTGTTTGCTACTCTATAATTATTGGTATGTGCAGAAATGAATTTTTGTAAGATGGGTGATTCATAATTTCCGAAGACTACATTTTTTCTCTCGGTTCTTGATTTGACAATTATTACAAGGAATTTCTTCCTCCCTTATCATACTATCTCTTGTTAACAAATCTAAGACATCCATGTATTTTAAAACAAGATTTACTTTCCATTCGATAAACCTTGACGTATTAAATGCTAGGTTTGACATAATTTTGCCACAAACTTTTGTATCTTGTCGGCAAAGGGAGGTTGAAGCCACAAGGGATAGAGGTAATCAAAATACTAAGAGATGGTCTAATGAACCCAATTTGTATCATCTTTCTTGAAAAAACTAGTTTCTCCTTACTTTATTTTGGTAACAGGTTCACATTAGGCTTCTACACCCTTTCCCTGACTACAACTTGAACATGATCAATCAAAATAACCTCAATCGGTGGAATCAGCTTATGAATAAATCACCATCGCCACATTTCATCATTTATTATTGTAGATTTATTTTTTTTGTGTTGCAGTCAATCTTAGGGGTATAGTCCTTATCTACTCACGATTCGGTCTTTTTTTTCTTTAGGTACCACTAGATTTTAGAACTTGTCATTGGCTCTATGCAATAATATGATGCAAATTTCTACTCTTGTGAGCCATGTTTAACGAGGTTAGGCAAACAAAAAATTTCAAAGAGAAGTTTTTGTTGTGGCTTTTCTCTTTTTCACGTTACGCAAGGCATGAAGGTAAAAAACAGGCACAAAGTTCTAGCAGTTTTTCAACTTGGAGGATAAATACTCCAGTTTGTGCCTCATTAATAGAAATAGCAAGTATTCACATCTACATCCCCATTTTCACTTGAGACTTATGAGTGTGCGAAATGAGTGTACACTTGTAACACCCTGCATTTTCTTTTATATATGTATATAGATATATAGTAAATAATTATGGTAAAAATGTGGATATGTGCAGTGATGTGTGTTTGAATTTGGTAGATTAGAAAAATAGAGATTTAAAATGTTAATGGAAATAATAGTTGAAATTTGGTTTTAATAAGTGAAAATATGAAATTTTAGGTCTTAGAACTTGTATTAAATAGGTTTGTGTAGAAATATATGTTTGAGAGGTTTGAGATGGATTTGGTTGGCTTAGGAATGGATTGGAAATGGAAACGGGATGAAACAGTGTACTGGCTGCAATTTCAAGCGTGATTTCGACCTTGATGCAGTCAATATCTCTCAAAATTTAAAACTTGAAAGTTGTAGAGCTGTTTCTTAGCATTCCATAGCATCTTGAATTATCTCAATCAGAGCTCGGATGAGAGAGTTATGCCCGGATAACGAAGTGATGTCAAAACAGTCCAATTAGCTTGAACAGTGCACTGGCTGTAACTTCAAGCCAAATTTAGACCTTGATGTAGTCAAGATCTCTCAAAACTCAAAACATGAACTTTTTATAGCTTTTTCTTATCATTCCATGTCATCTTGAATCATCTCAATTGGAGTTCGGATGAGCGAGTTATGCCCAGATAACGAAGCAATGTCAAAACAGTCCAATTAGCTTCGTTTTGCATTTAATGTCTCCATTTGCATCCTAAATCAAAATATAAGAACAATGAGTACATTTAGGCTTCAAATAAGTAGAAAAGACTTTAAGAAGCACCCTTTATCACCTTTTGTTTGTAAACAACGCAAAACTTCATTAATAGCCGGTTCGGATGAATAAAATAGAAACTTTAGTGTTTCGGGTGTACGTTGACTTTAGTTTTGAGATAAATCATAAAAATAAATATTTTTAGATTAAAATAACATTAAAAATAAATCCGGAATGTCGAAAAATCTTAGAGTAGTCATATGGATCAAATTGGAGATTCTTAGTAATAAAATCGTAATTTTCGAGAAAACCAAAACAAATTGTGAACAGTAAATTTCAGGGCTGAGGTGTTTTAAACCTCATTTTCATCATATTTGCCCTCATTTCTTTCACTCCACTCTTACCCCACATTTCTTAGAACTCTAGAGAGCATTAGAGTAGAAGAAAGGAAGGAAAAAACAAGAGATTTAAGGGTAGATTTAAGATCAAATCTCAAGTTCTTCTTACAAACTAAGGATTCAATGTAGGGGTTTTCTCTCATTCACTTATATTGAGGTTAGGGTATTTATATATGTATGTTTTGGCTATCAATGGTATATATATATGCTATGTAATCATCATCTCTTAGGCTTTTTGCAAGGATTTCATGTTTTGAACAAAGTAGGGTTTAATACCCATGAAATCTCATTTCTAGTTTTAAAACCCTAATTTTTGGAGAGTGTTTTATTTTCTTCCTAAATGCTTTCTTTATTATGGATTTTAAAACTTTAGTAATTTGTGTTGGGTAGAAAAATGATGTTATTGTGATCTCATATATTTCTTAGTTGGTAGTGGAATTGTTACATGATATATTTTGAGAATTTTGGATAGATGCTTGTAAATTGAGATAAATGTTGAAATTGTATGCTTGGTTGGGTTATTTGTGATGCACATGAGTGATAGGTTCCTTGTAAGGATACTCATCCTTTTCCAAGAGTTTCCCGGTAAGGATACTTAGGAAACAATGTAGTGATTGGTGAGAGATTCCATGTAAGAATGATTATCCATTCTGAAGAGGTTTCCGGTAAGGATGCTTGAAAATCAAAGGTGACTTAAAGGGGAGTGTAGGTTATCACAAAGTATGCTACTTATCGAAAGAATTGTTGAGAATTAGTTATGACAATTAATGGTTATTAATTGTATATGGTGCTCGTTTATTCATTTAAGTGATATTTTTAAATAAACTTGAGATCTTTTTTAAATGTCACTACTTTATTTCAAATTATGTATCTATGTTATGTTAAAATTGAGACCGACCATTTTAAATAATTTTCTAAACCTTGTATGGGTTTGAGAGAATTTTTCTACAGTGTTTCGTGCTCACCCCCTATCGCTAACATTTTTCAGATTACTTGCTTGAGGAGGAGGACGTAAGGGTCGAGGAGCCCGCTACTTGGAAGACTCCACTAGACGGGAGTGTGGATCCCGAGGTGGACGCATAGAGCGACCTCCTTTCCTTTTATACTAGACTAAGACATTTTTTTGGAACATTGTGTAGTCTAACTTCTTTTTTTTATTCCGCTGCGTTTCTTTAATTAATTTTTGAGATGTAATTGTCATGACTTGAGCTTATTCTTTTGGATAATGTTGTAAATATTCGTGGATGACAAATGAAGTCTTGTTTTTTAAGGATTATATTAGTGCTCTCATGATATGAATGGTTTTAGAATGTAATGTCGTCCAGGGTGTGTTTTGGGGTGTTACAACACTTTAAGAGATTAATCAAATAAAATCCACATCTACATTGGCTATCCAATTTTAGCTTTGATGCAAACCCAAATAAGGATTTTCTCTCAGAACAACATATTCTCTTACTATAGTGACGTTCCACTCATTATTTATATGTGAGACGGATTCCTATAATTCAAAATAAAGCATAGCTCACATACGGTTTAGAAATGAAGGACAATTATATAAATGAAACGACTTTGATATAATCTCATGAAATGAATGCTCGGACAAATGAAAGAAGTACAATTGACCTACCTCTTAGCTGGATTCAATATATATGTTCACCACCATTCTCAGGATCAAAAAGGACTTTTATTTGGTTGTAACTTGTCCTGGGTGAAAGCTAAAGAAACGAAGGGATATATGAATTCAAAAAGTTATCCTAGGGACATGACTTTACCAACCACATCTCCTCATTTGGAATTCAATTAGCTCACCTCATTCATTTATGTATTTCCCCCTTTTCCATTGTCTTTTCACAAAATTTTTCTTTTCTTTCTTTTTTTCTCATTCTTTTTCTTCTCTCTCTCTTTTTTTTTTCACTTCCTTTCTTTCTTTCTTTTCCTGCTTTTGAATGTCAACAATAAGCTCAATACTCATCATCCGCATTTCTTTCACTTATTTTTTTCTTCTTCTTCCTTATAACCACCATTCCCTTTTCAATTTGTAAACAAAATCCGTCCCAGAATAACAAAGGTAAAATAAACATATTTATGCTTGGCTTGATAAATCATGTGGCTTAAGAAATGAAAGGTTTCAATAAAGCTCAATCACCGTTAACTACGGACAATGACAAGAAAGAATAGGTTAAGGGCTTAAATTAATTCAAAGATGACCTAAGATCATTTTCCAAAAATGTATGATAATGTACTCTTTTGCATTGAAATATAGTCAACTAACTACCTCCCTTACACCAATGAAAACAAAAATAATGAGATTATTGAAAAAGATGAAATTTGAAAGAATAGTATTTTGAGTAAATGTATTTCAACCCTCCAAACAAAGAATGACACAACACTCACAAGGTTAATACATTCATTTCCACTATGTATGTCAAGCCTTTTAAGATATGAATCTTATTCAATAAATAACAAACATTTGCATACTCATGGTGCACATAGGGTGAGTATCAAATGCAAACACGAATATGACACTTAATCATAGAATAAACTCCTACAGTGCGCTATTATGTAAAAAAGTTTTTGCTAACAAAGAAAGAATAATACAATGCAAATCAGATGTGTCTTTTTCAAAAAATTTCAATTTTTTCAATTTTTCAATATAGGCATTATGGTATTAACATAGAATTATAGTGTAACCCTTATCCCCCCCCCCCTAAAAAAAAACTTAAATTATGCATTGTCTTCAATACAAAAAAAAAGATATATATATATATATATATATATATATATATATATATATATATATATATATATATATATATAATGAGAAAAATGAAGACAATAAGGACAAGAAAAACACCTTGTACTTAATTCTATAAAGAAAAATCATCAGCTGCAAGACAACAAAAAAAAACTATACAAAAAATGGGTAATTAAAACAAAATAAGCTATACATAAAAAGAAATAAACTAACTACTCTAAATTATGAATGAAATAAAAAGAATATGCAAACACAGGATCAACCAGCTCTTCCATAACCTCCTCAGATGAAAAGCCTTCTAAGAATGATTTGAGCTGATGTCCATTAACTTTAAAAATTTGATCATTCTTAGGATTTTTGAATTTCTATGGCCCCACTCTGATAGACGACACAAACTATATAAGGGTTAGTTCATTGGGAATGTAAATTCCCTAGAAAGATGTTAAGACAAAATTGTATAAGAGTACTTTCTGACCAAGCTTAAAGGTTTTTCTTAATATTGATTTATCATGAAAAATTTTAACATTTTCTTAAGATTAATATTGACACGAATATTACATGTATCTCTTTGGTGTCACACTCTTTGTAGTCTCTATCATGTGTCATTGTAAGTTATCCTTGTTTGCCAAGTGTCATTCTTTGATATATCTTTTTGGTGTCATACTTTCATGTATCTCTTTACTGCCACACTTTGATGTATCTATTTGGTGTAATTCTTTTTGTAGTCTCTATCATGTGTTATTGTGTGTCAACTTTCTGTACTTTTTCAATAAAGAGAGAAAATAAGGGAAGAGAAAACATATGCAAAGAAAGAGTAATCGTACCTTGAATACATAAGGGAGAGAAAGAGTTTATAGGGGGAGAGAGTAGAGAGAGAGAAAATAGGAGGAGGGAGAATGAGAGAGTAATGATGATAAAAAAATAGAGAGAGAATAGGAAGAGAAAGTAACTGTAAGAGAATATAGGGAGAGAGAGAGAGTATAAGAAAAAATGTTTAAAATTCAGACAAATGATACAATCAAATTAAATATTTACATATTTAAAAATAGAATAAACTATCAAACAATTATGTATTATTTAAAGAAGAATAATTAAGGAATACAAAAAAAAAAAAAAATTGAATTGTGTACCAAATAACAAGAAATCTATATATAAAAAGACTTAATAGCATAAAAATCTTAATTATAAACTTTCTCATAAATAAGTCTTAGAAAATATATCCATACCCAATTTTTCTTAACTAAAATTGGCTATGCCAATGAGCCAGTATATTCCTTTTTAGTGATAATAATACGCGACATACGTCACCTTACTGTGATGACATCTCATAATTGAGCCATTCAAAACACACGTGGAAGTTTAGGATTAAAATTCATGAAACTAAAAAAAAAAGTTTTGAGGGGCGAAGTGAGAGTAGGTGAAACTCTGAGGGAGCAAAGCATAACTGACGCTGGCCATCTTCTAGTAGCTATTATATGGGAAACAAAAGGTCATTTTCGTAAATTAATAGTCCACGATAATAACCGGTAAAACGCGGAGAGTTCTTTCAAGAGCATCTTACCTCTGTTATGGCTTTATGCCGATTCGTTTTCTATAATTCTCCATTTTATCGCCACCCGTTGCAGGTGTTCGTCAACCCTAATTTTTCTCACCCTTATTTCCCTTCCAAATCTACAAAATTTACCATCCTGCCACGCCTGAGTCTAAGAAGTTTCTCTCCGATCTCCAGTGTTTCTGTTTCTTCACAGTCATCTTCAACCATGGAAACCCTTCCTGAAGGTTACAGAAGAAACGTTGGTATTTGTCTCATCAACCCTTCTAAAAAGGTCAATCCCATAATCTCTCTCTCTCTCTCTCTCTATCCATGTGTGTGTGTGTCAGTGTATTTCTGTATGCTAACTCTTTTAGTTCAAATGCTGCAGATTTTTGCTGCTTCAAGACTTGATATACCTGATGCCTGGCAAATGCCTCAGGTAATTCTGGAAGTTCCAAATGTGTTTAACGTTTGGGCTTGTTTTTCATTACAAAGGAATCATGTTGATAAATTGATTTCTTTTTTGGGCGATATTCTTGAAAATGTAGGCTTCTTTGTGTTTCTTTTTTATTATCTATCCATACTGCAAGCAAAAGTCGATGGAGGTTTTATATATGTTTACGGATATAGCTATATCTAATATGACACCACTTTTTAGCTAATAGTTGGTTTAGCACTCCACATATATGTGAAATCTTAGTTCTTTGTCCAGTTTACCTCTTATAGGTCTTAAGACTCTAGATGATACTGTCTTTTTTTTCCTTGCAATTTTTGGACTGCCTGTGTAGTCTAATACATATGTGGGCCTGTTAGCTAACATCAACTGTAGTTGTTGAATGACAGAGCTCATGATTTAAAGTACAGGCAATTTTTTTTGTTTTATTTATGGGATGGGGTTATGTCATTTGTGTTCATCACAGTTTAAGAATTCATTCTTACTCTTTGACCTAAAGTTTTTTATGCTCGAACTTTGAGGATTTTTTTCATGTAATGTGTCTTTACATAGAAGATAATAATTTTTATAATTTGTTGCATCTCAGTATGACAGCTTCTTCCGAACTGGTATATGAGCATTGTCGGTCTCTGTACTCATAGTCAATAGGTTTTAGGTTGGAGGCTCTTTAACAAAATCTTTGTTTTCCTTTTCAAGTGTTTGATTGAAGCTTTGGGGAAGAAAAGAAAATTATGAAGTAGCAGGAACTGTATTCTATTTCTACTGATGCATAGACCATAGAATATGTGTGTCTATATTCAGATATTTCTACGTGGTTTTAGGGTACATTGCATCGACCTCCCTTGTTTTAATGTCTAACTACCACATCAGGGTGCACCTTATCCTTCTTTCATTGAAAACAAATGTGGACAATGATTGAGCGGTAATTGTTGGAGTTCTAGTTTCATACACTTCCTTTTCATATGTAGTCCAAACTCGTATTCTCATCATAGTTGTCAAATCGCGATTCATATCGTGAATCGGATCCTAAATTTGAGAATTGTGAATCATAAGATTTGATAAAAATTTTGAACAAAAATAAAAAATTATAATACATATTTAAAATAGATAAAATATTGAATATTGAACATTGTTGCATTCTAAAAATAATCAATTGACATAATCACATCGTCTAAATGGAAAAATGCTAGTCTTTTGCTTTATTTTCATCTTTTATTTAACCATTTTCAAATTCAACAACTTTAAAAAAAAAAAAAATTTAATTAAAGAACCATGGCTATTCAAGAATCAAAATAGTAACACTTAGTATAAAAAAAGAATAAATAAGAAAATTGATTGGGATAAAACATACAGATTAATATTTTGAAACAAAAAATTAGAATCTAACAAACTACCCATGAAAGAATCGAGAACAAAAATCAATCGATGATACGAGAGCGTTAGTCATGACCTTTAGCTCTAAATAATGCTAGGCGAGATTTAGACGACATTAGAGAGAGAACGAGCTAAGAGGTTGAGTTTTTATTAGAGTGTGGGTTCCTCTACAAACAAAAACAACACCGTTTTATTGTTTAGTGGACAAAATGACGTCGTTTTGCCAAAAATTTGAGTTTTAAAAAAAAGTGATTGAATTGTGCAATTCGGGCAATACGAATTGAATCGTACGAATCAGAAGGTTCAGGTGCGATTCAACTCTAAAACGATTCTCATATAAGATACGAATCGTTTTGTATATGTATCAAACCAAATCGTACAAATCGAATCACGAATCGTACGATTTTGATAACTATGATCCTCATTATCAGACTATGATATGTGAGACTCAGCGGTGATTAGTTAGAGTTCATATCGGCCATCATGCTTGTTCCTAGTAGCTAACAAATGCTTGGTTGGATTTTAGTAAAATTTACCATATTGTCCTGTATTTTTCTTAAAAATTCCTTTTTTTTTGGTTTTTTTTTTTTTGGGGGGTGGGGGATGGGGAGGAGGGATGAGGTTTGAACCTGCAATCACCTGCAGGTAGGAGTGACACCCATTTACCTTGAGCCATGTTCTATTGTAGAAACTTGATAGCTAACTCCATTTGCTTGATGCATCTTTCAACATCCATTGAGTGAATGCTTCAGGAATTTTAAAGCTAGAATGAGCCAAAAGCATGCAATGCAGAAGTAGAAAACTGATTACCTCACATGTTAAAACTATTCATCAAAATCTCTTCAAAATTCATCCCTCTCCGCAACTTAAAGCCTTTCACAATCACAGCCAATGAACCCCTATAAAATGTGGTATTGAAGTCAATGCTGCTTAATCAAGTTTGACCAATGATGATCTCACTGTAGACATGCATTGTATTTAAAACTGCGAGTTCTTATTATAACCTTCTCCCATATCTTCATCATTGGATAAGGTATCAATTCCTCATGCTGGTGCAGTATAATTTTTTGGAAATCCTGATAGTGGATAGAACCATAATCAATTCTACTTGGGGGCTGGGGAGTAGGAAATTCATTTCTCAAGAGAAGCAAGACTTGTTTGTGGTAACTTTTGTGTGTAATGATGAGTGTTATTCAACCATGGCTTCAATGCCATTTTGTTAACAAGGTGCTATCTAGGCCTCTTGGAGCACTTTCCGAATCCTTCAGGCACCTTCAGTCACCGTATCCTAGATGCATCTGGTAATTTTGGAGATTAATGCCTGTAAAATGACCATAAAGCAAAATTTGAGCTTAGGACCTCCAGCTTACAAAGTAGACACCTTACCATCTCATCTACCCCTTGGCATTTGTAATCTTGCTCCTAATTAAATTTTGCAAATCTTGGAATTTAGGAGTTCAAGTTGTGGCTGTTGCTAGAGTATTGTGACATTGGTCGACTTTGCATAATCATTCCTGTATGCTACTATGGGATTTGGATAAGTGCTCCAGAGCTAATGTTCATTGGCTTCCAGCATTTACATGCCAAGGCTGTTTCTATCTTCTAAGGTTTTGCACTTTTTTCTGAAAACTGTGTGAAACCGTAGAAAGTTGAAAAGAATCATGACAGATAATACACTTGATAACTAGTGATATTTTCTCTTCTATATTCATATTACAGTGGAATACTGATGAAATACTATGTTTTTATGAGTCTATGATTTGTTTTCAAAGGTATATATATTTTATTGTTAATTATTTAAAATTGCACTGTATCTTACGACACACGATATGATACACTATTTTTGAAAAACAATACGCCTTCCGATACTCGATTTTACAACTATGATTAGAATGAATTCAAAAATATATATATATATATATATATATATATATATTAGAAAATAATTTTCAGAACTTACATGCCCCTGCTCTAGTTTTATAGCTTGACTTGTACTTCTTTGGAAAATTTTCCTTCCCTGTTTATGAGATGGAATGAGGTATGACATAGACCTTTATTTAACAGGGTGGCATTGATGAAAATGAAGATCCAAGAAATGCTGCCATCAGGGAACTAAGAGAAGAAACAGGAGTTACATCAGCAGAAATTCTTGTTGAGGTTTGGATTCTAGATTGACCAATTTTTGCATTACAAATTTTGGGTTGATATGGTAGGCTTTTGTAGAGCTCCAAGTAGTATGTTGCTACCAGACTGAATGAAATTAAAGAAAAGAAACTGCTGAATAAAGCACTCATTTTTTTGTTTTGAGTGTATTTTGTCTCTCTTCTTTCTTAGTCTTCTGCTGAGTTTTATTTGTGAGCTTTCACGGAGCAAAAACCTCAAATTGAAAAGCCATAGTGGAACTGAGATTCCTTTTTAATTTTTTGGGAAAGGAAGAAGGGCTTTTGTTGGGAAAGCAGGGAACAGAGAGTCTGTGCTGGTTCCTTTTCTTTTTGGAGTGGGGAGTCAGCAACCTCCATTTTGAAGATGCTATTGGTTTCATGCAGAGGGTCAAACATTCACTGACGCCATCTATATAGTGTAGTTTTTCTATTCCTTATTTTCATGTAATCAGACTTGGTGAAGAAACTGTTTACCCCATCCTTCCTCCATTAGAGTGTTTCTGTCTGATGTATGCATAAGGAGCTCAAATATCTTCTTAAGTGAAGATATGAGTGGTCTCTTCTCTGCCGAAAAATAATTTCAATACTTAAGAACTTTGTTCTTATGGGAGTGACATTTCTCCGATTTGCAGCATGGATGTGAGGAAAATCTATCTTTTAAGTAGTCGGAGATCCATTAATGGAAGCCACTTTTTCAAAATACAGTTCAATGCTTCTACTCTTTTATTTTTTCATTTTTCAATATAATCAGGCTTTGAAATCTCTAGAATAACATAGAGAGACCATGTAAGGATTCCTACTTTGATAGTCTATTATCTAACTGACTTTAGGAGATTTAAAGATTTTACTGGACTGAACTCACAATTAACACAGATTAGGAATCGTCTGAGATTCAAATAAAGCTTCCTTCTCCAAGGTCTATTCTTCCTATGATTATTCCCTCCCCACGGCGTTGTCTGATATTTGTACCCCTTAGGTTTGATACCATCCAATTCAACAAAGGAGATTGCTGGCCGGGAGAGAAAGAAATAGGACACTAAATATGAACATAATTTTCGGCATTGTGGTGCATCTTTCGGTAATTTACAGGGAAACTAGAACCTAGGATGTAGGGTTGGGGCCCATCTTATTTCATGTTGAATAACACTGCAGCTTTTAGGTGGTACACACTATTCTGAAGATCACACGAGGATACACTTGCAACCCACTTGGATGAGGTTTGGGTCCCTGTGAAGGAGAAATTAGAAATCTTGTACGATTTCTTTTGCCTTTTATTTAAGTGATAAATAAGAGCTTTTCCCAAATTTATTTGGGAAAAGATCATACTAATAAGATTAGTGCCCTTCACAAAAGGTGATTTGATGCTGGATTTTTAGCTGTTAGAGTTTCTTTACATGGTCTGGCACGGGAGAGATAAAGTTGCACTGTACATGGTGTTATGTATAAATTCCTTGGTACAACTGCATATTTCTGTTTGTGGTATGTGATGTGAAAGAAGAATTGAGACATGGCTCTTGAGTTTATTGAGGTTCCCTATCAAAGACTTATCTTGTATATTTAGGTTACATACTGATTGCCGACTATGTTGTTTCTTCTAGTATTTCAATATGAAGTCTTAGCAGCTCACATTATTCATTTGTAGATTGATTTTCTCTTTCCTTTTCTTTAGTTTTTTTTTTCAACTCAGTCCCTTACAGCTTAGCTGATTTTTAATGTTGGATTCTTGTGCAGGTTCCGTATTGGTTGACTTATGATTTCCCACCAGAGGTCAGGGAAAAACTAAATCACCAATGGGGATCAGACTGGAAAGGTCAAGCACAAAAGTGGTGAGCGCACTGGGTAATCATTTTCTTTTGAGATGCATGTCAGATATTTGCTGTCAGGTGCAAAGATATGACAGAGGCTTAATTTGTCAGGGAAACAAACCGAATTAATGATTCTAAAACAAAGATCCAGTTACTACTTGGTTAAAATTTACCAAAACCTTGAGCACCTAGTCCACACAAGGTTCTTACTTCTCACTTCTAGCAGCTTTGATCTGCGGTTCATATTTTCTCAAATAGTTCTTGAATTTCATTTCTACAGCTAAAATTCTAAATTAGTAACTCACTATTATCTTGTATGAAGCACTTCTGTGAATCCAGCTTGGGAGTGGATATGAGCCTAGCATGTGTTGTCATGCATAGCAAGTATCAAAGTGATTGGATGCGGATAATTACCCGGTCCACCAGCTTTTGTTCTTTTCCGATATGAACTCTTTAAATGAAAACGTTTAGTGAGAAGTGAAAGTTCTTGATCTTCAATTGCAGCATGCAAAATAAGTATAGAACGACAATTTAATTTGACACAGCTTGGTGAAAGAGGGTTTCTACCCTGAGGGGCTTAAGATTGTAACTCTATTAGCTGCACTTTTTTGGATGCATGAGTTTATGTGGAAGTGTGTTGTTCACGTGCTCCCGTGTTTTTTTTTTATTTTTTTATTTTCCTCTTCTTTTGATTCCTTACCCCTACAGTTGAGTACTTGAGTTTGTACACTGGAGTCAACATCCACAACCAAAATCTTTCTTCGTTAACCCAACATATGTTAAATGGAAAAGTGATTGCACGCCTTTTTTTTTCAGAAAGAGCATTCCTCCCTTCACTTTTAGTTGTGGGGTGGATTTGTCTGTTTTTGTCATAAAATCAACCATTTGGTTTTCCATTGCACAACATTATCTACCTTCTGTAATTTCATTTAATTTTAATCATGCAAAAGTACAGGTTCCTCCTTAAATTTACAGGAAAGGATGAAGAGATAGATCTTTTGGGTGATGGAACTGAGAAGCCTGAGTTTGGAGAGTGGAAATGGATGTCACCGGAACAAGTAGTTGATCTGGTGGGTGCACCTTGTTATCTTGAATATTTGCTCGTCTAATGCCAGCATTCTGCTCTGGTAATCTGTTTCAAACAGGTAGTCTTGTTATCTAACTATAGCTTTTACCCACATTTTCTGTGCAGGCAGTGGATTTCAAGAGGCCTGTTTACAAAGAAGTTTTGACAGTTCTCTCCCCCCATCTTGAATAAAGTTCATGATGTTCGAATTGCATAGTTGCCCGAAATGGATGCTATTATGACTTCATTTTGTCAAGTAAAAAGCCATGGCAACGTGGGCTATACAACAGAGGCAACCAGGTACAAAAAGCTACACGGAACTGATCAGACCTATGTGGCATACTGAAAATCTTGTTGGGAGGATGTTTCTTTCTCTTCCTGTTGTTACTTGGTGCACGAAATCGATTCTCACTGGAAAGTAAAGTTCTCTAAGACTAGTTATCAACTTCAAGTTTTGCTTATCTGGCCGAAGACTACTTGTTATCAACTGCAAGTTTTGCTTATTTGACCGAAGACTACCTGTTATCAACTGTAAGTTTTGCTTATTTGGTCTTTGGTTTTACCTATCCCATCATAATGGTTGAATGGCTCCTGGCATAAGGATTGTACCCAGATGTTTCAAAATCCGTTCAGCATAACATTCGTTGAGCCATAGCTGGGTGGGTTTGACTCAGGTTGACATTGGGTGGTAAGTTGTTGGGCACTCCATTTATTTGAGTGTTTTCTTTTCGAAAATGGGGGGCATGGCATGTATAGCTCTTTAAAATAGTGAAAAAAATTAAATCAAATTAAAAACAAATCATTACCAAGTTGTGGATAATGGGAACAAACTCCACATATGCATCAAAGTCGAGCAAAGCCTAAATCAAATAAGGTCCAGGAAAGGAACTGAATGTCCAGCCAACTGGACCATGTGACAACTGAAGCACTTGACTTAGCCTTCAGGCCAACAATGATACCTTTGGCAAGGGATTATACCTCCCATGGTGAGTACCTGAGTTCAAGTGGGAGAGGAAAATTAAATACCTAGTAGGGGCTTCCAAATAACAGAATCAGGGCATCTCATGTATTGCAGTCAGCGGTTTTATGTACGAGGTTCCCAATATTGCAAGATAAAAAACCTCTGATAGAAATGTTTCAGCAAGAAAAGAGAACTTTTTATCATTATACTTGACTAAAATTGTGAAGTACTATAAAACTGAACGGTCAAATGGGTCTATCTCCATGAGATTCAAAACTGCAAATGCAAAAACCTCCTTAGAATCAAATAAAAGTTTTGTAGGCTAAAAAGGCAGCTGTGCCACAGTATCTTGATGCCAATGCCTTTCCAGAAGAGGTTGGATCAGAGAATGCCAGCTGAGATGTCTTCAGTGCAAAACCCTTGCAGAAACTTATCCTGCAGAGAGTTTGACAAACACATAAGAATAAGATCAATCAACTGGGGTTCTAATTTATGTCACGACTATGAATCGACCGGGGGCACTTGCGTAAATGTAAATGGTGCCTCAACACCAAATAAGATCAAAAGAGCCTGAAAAAGCAAATGGTGGCTGCTGGTAGAGTGCTGTCATCGGAACACATGCCTAATAACCCACTTCATCAAAATCCACTACTAAGCCACTTATAAAATGTCCTATCACTTGTCTCAGCTCCATTTGCCATAATAATAAGAATCAATTCCGGAAAAATGACAATAATAGTGGGTGAAAAATTAAGTTGTGGTGATACAAGTGCTTCCCTTAACTCCTGAATCAACCTGACAGAAAGAACTTCAACACCTGATTTTTAGAGAAAAAGCCGATACATGCACATATCAAATTAAATGTGACATGCTATCTCTTAGAATTGGAAAATTCTCCAATGGAAGAACTTGAATCAGCTATATGACTGCTAAAATTCACGTATGTTCGCCACAGTGGTGTACAAAAGAAATAATCCTGGCTTTTTTCTCTTTCTAAACTCCTCCTTTTGGTATCATTGAGAACATAATCTCATCTTCTGAGTCTGGTAAAGGAGGATATGCAGGTGACTTACCATTTGTAATAAGCAGTCCAAATTCAGGTACACAACTCAGATGTCAGCTATGATTTTCATATGGGCATCGGAGTGGGAGCAACAGATTGGAACTACAGGGGTCAACCAACCAACGGAAAAGAACAATTTCTCGTGCTGAAAAATTGCATTATGTGTAATTCACATGGACGGTTTGGAGAAAGAAATCTACAAGAAAAATATGTTGATTTTTTGGATCTAAACATGTTCCAAAATTTTCAATTAGCACTAGCAATAGATCAAATAATACTATTAAATGAGTTACAAGCTAAAGTTTGTGCTAGTGAGAGCTCACCTTGCAGCATCCAACAGTTGGCTGGCTATGCGTTTCTTTCTCATGGCTGGTGCAACCCAAATGACTCTAATCCCACATAGAGCAGTTACGGCTTCTTTTTCGAGAAATACTGCTCCCATGAGGTCTGCTTCTATTGGCTTAGGACTATTTGCCAAAGGAGCCCCTTTCACAGCTTCCCTCTGAAAACTAATATCTCCAAACTGAAGTGCTGAAAAATTTAAGCTATTTTTCCTTGCAGTGGTACCGCCAAGGCCTTTTGACATGACCGTGTTTGGAAGAACCCTGTAGGCACTTTTAATCGGTTCTGCTACTAGACAACCAGCAATCCTATGATGGGAAATAAATAGATATACCTACAATCAAAAAGAGAAAACAAAGCTGACTTCAAAGAGACATCTCACCCCGTCTACATCATCCGCGTAACCAAATGGAAATACATGGTTCCCACCTTGCAAAGCTTGTGGATAAGCCATCCAATTCCAAGCTCCATCTCCATCATCTCCACAACCTTCTGGACCTGCCAAAGCAGCAGGTATCTCCATTAAGACTGCAGTTAATGATGCACTGATTCATATCAGAAAATTTATTTCATTATTGGAAATGCAGTAGATAAAATTCTATTACATCTCATATATGTTGAAAATGTCGAGCATTTAAATTTTTAACGAAACTTATGGCTGACAAAAGGAAATAGTAGAAGTCAAACAAGAGTCTTTTCTATCAAATTATACATGTTCTTAGCATGGAAAGCGTATTCGACAATAAGTTGATAAGATATACGCAGAACCTTTACAGGTTTTATTAACATGAGGTGGTTTGGTATCAGTAACGCAAACTGAGTTCAATACCGGATAAATAAAAGGATAAAGAAGGACCAAAAGTTGGGCACAAGGCTAAGAAATCATGGTGGCCAATGAAATTTACACAAAAAATGGTGAGAAACGATTTAGAAAGTTAGCTTGAACCAGTGGATGGGATCCTAACCCATAACCCAGGCTTTTCAAATTGGAGTAGTATTTTCCCCATGTTCATTCATGTCCTTGAAATGGATACTGGTTTCTTATCAATACGAGCCGATGCTTTGCAAGTCGGTATTTTTTATGCTATTTGGTACTCTAACATAGAGTGTGCGAGAGAGTGTGTGTGGGGGAGAGCGAGAGAGAGAGAGAGAGAGAGCCTAGAGTATGACAAGAATGTCTTCTTTCCTATATCTTATTATCGCTTTGAACGTGCCATTTCCTAAGTTCAACAAGGTTAAACGAGTACCATGGCATCAGTGAAAAGTTTTAAGGCACTAAAATTGCAGGAGTTGAATAACAGAGTATATTGATTTATACAAGTCCTCATAGAGTCATAGGGGCCTTCTAGTGAGTTCCTAGGGGGGGGGTTTAGCCATACTTGAAAAATGATGTGTCCTTAAACAAAGAAATGGAACCTTCTTCTTGTGAGCGGGTGGGTCTCCATCCAGCACCAAGACTATTCGTCCTGCATTGGTTGAAGGCACATGAATAACCCTCTCATTGTGCCAGCCCTGCAGATTGGAATCAGGACAAAATGCAAACAAAAGTTTGGAGAAAATCAACCGGTAAAAAATTAGGTGAAAAACCTTGAACTGGATGCCTTGAGTGTACTCCTTGTGCAATTCTTTGTGAACTTTCTCATCTTCTTCATCCCCACGAGCATACTTGAATCCACATACGGAACAAGTGTGGAGAAGAAAATCAGATTGTCCCAAATCCAAATGCAGTTGACCATACCTTCTCTTCTTGTTTAGAATTTTGGTTGAGACTGAATTGACTTCCAAAGGAAAAGCCTCTATACAGCATTCTTTTGGGGCTTCAATCTGCTGAATGCCAGTTCCATAGTCACTGCAAGGCAAGAATTCATGTGTAACACAACATTTGAAACTAAACAGTTTGCTTTTGTTGAAGTGGAATATCTAAAGCCAATAACAACTTCTGCATAAATTTAGTGTGCTGAAAGCTGACAAGAAAGATCAAAACCCATTATAGATGTGCCATCAAAGCAAGTACCATGAAAGCTTATAGCAATGTCAACATGCAGTTTCTTTTGGATCTGTCACTGCCTTACTAAAACAACAAAATTCAAAGTAGTTGTAAGTGACCAAGTGGTTACATTTCGGTATGATTTCCTTTTTCATGGTAATGGGAGGCTTTCTCTGTTTTTTGAATTGAAAAATTCGACATCTGAGCTTGTACTTTGTATATCAGCTCAAATTTGTAGAATTTGGAGATGTAAGACTTGTTCTTTAGCTCAACAAAGTTTTTTTAAGGCTAGTGACGGTTGCTCTGATCAAATCAGAAAAACTTGCAGATCTAAAGATGAATCCCCTGAGAAGTGTCATATACTTTGCAAGGGTAGAAGAAAATAAAAGGTTTGGTGTATGACACACTTGAGTGTCACAAGGGAATTTGCTTCGGAAATATATGGAGTTTCCCTGATACTAAGGTTAAAAATAGAACTACAGGTCAAGCACAATGCAAAGAAGATATTTGAAGGAGAACATTGGTTCTCTTATAAGCAAGGACAACAAACTCAATGATCTGTAAGAACAAGGAAATGGACAGAACACTGGGCAGTAATTCATTGATATTCATGGCTTCAACCTAAGCATCTTACATCTTGTTCTTGCTTTTCCCCCTCAAAAAATGGAAAAAATAAACAAACATACTAATACCACCTAAGGACTTTGTCCTTTTGTTCCTGTAGTTGCAGTTGGATGGAAACTTGGGGGAGAGAGGGAGAAAGGTGAGACAAATAAATAGCAAAAAGAATTGAACTCCTGACCTTTAGGTTTTAAACCAGCTGCAGCATAGACATACACAATTGACAAACATAAGACAATAAAAAGGATTACCAGGCAATGCATTATTACATAGGCTTAAAATTATCAATGATACCCAACAAAAATTCAGTGAAGCCTGAAGAAATTACCGTGAATAAACTATTAATGAAATTTTAGAAAAACTGAATAACAAACTAAACTTTAATCTCATAGTTTTGGATTGTCCCATCCGAGCTCAGAAAAAGTCTAAGAACAAAAAATGGGTCTGTGAATCATCCATTGGTGGGCGATATATGATTGAATCAAGAAGACTGTAACAAAGAACATACATACATATGAGGAGGGTCTGTACTATTGGTTTGATCGCTGACGAGCTGCGTCTGGTTTAGGGTTTTGGGGTTGGTTGTGGTTTGAAGAAAGCACTGATCTTCGCTTGCATTGCTATTAGTGGTGTGGACTGGATGGCTATGCTCATTTTGTGAACTTGTGAGTTGAGAAGGCTTCAGCCATTTCATGGCCAAAACCGCCTCTCATTTTTCCTTTGGATTTCGTTCCCGCCAGTTGAATCTTCAAACACGAGCCCCGGATGGAATTGAATACAAAATTCTGATTTGATTTTCCGATTAATTTTATTTTTATAATTTTGATCATACCTAAAATAAACTCCGAGCGCTAAGCTCAGGAGTTTAACTCGGACCAAAAGGTCAGACAAATTAAGAGATTAGAGGGTAAGAGCTAAGCGTCTTTTAAGACAAGATAATAGTTAAATAACCACGAGAAAATCTTAAAGCGTTAGGAAGCTATAATTAAGATACTCAACCTCAACCAACTAATATCTTTTTCTACAATTAAGGAGAAGCCTACGAAATAAGGGTAAGAATCTCGGCTAAGATCCTTCTTAACAGGGAATGACCTTATAAATGCAAGGCAATACCCCGTAACGGAGGGGAGAGGAACCCTGGGGGCAAAAAAAGTCATAGCAACCTTGTAATCACCGTGAATAAAATAAAGGGAGCAAGAGCCTCCATTCTAGAGTGAACTAGCCGAGCTCTCAAGCTGGTAAACCACTATAATTCTATTGTCTTAACTTCCAAAGCCCTGGATATTACTGCATCATTTTAGCAACCTAACGTAATCCCAGCTCATCTTTGGTAAAAAGTGCATTAACGCCATCAGTTTGGCGCCGTCAATGAGAATGACTGTTCCTGTTACAAATAAAGTTGATTTTTCAGTGACTAATGGTATCAACACGAAATATGAGTTGAAGTCAGACCAATCCTTTACGGATGCAAGATCAACAGGAAGCCGCAAATAACAGACAACTCGAACATGTGCAACAAGCTGATCCCCCTATGGGGGCATTCCCATGAATAATGAGATGAAAGTCCTTCGTCTAGTCAATAAACGTCTGATAAAATAGAACAAAGAGTTCTTAAAGCTCCTACAACGCCCACAGGAGGCTAGATCGGCCTAAGGAGGCCAGAATAATCCACCACCAAGGGAGCAACCGTATTTCGACCCCCTTAGAGAAGTTAATGAGGTGGGAGAGAATAGTCAGACCTTGGGGCAAGAACCTCGCCTACCCCCTAGGAATGGTCACAACGAGGAAGTGCAAAGTCAGTATAAGGAAGGGAGAGGAACGATTTCTTCCCTTATCAATAGGAGAAAAGAGAATACCACTGGAAACAACGTTTCAAAGACATCTAGTAAGAGTTTAGCCAGATGAAGGAGGGAGTGAAGAGCAAGGCCCCAGTCACTATGGATGCCTTAGTGCAACAAACCGAATCCCCATTCACTACTAGGGTGTTGCACTTCCCTCTCCCACCTAAATTTAGAATGCCGCAGGTGGATACTTTTGATGGGACAAAAGATCCCGTGGACCACCTCAACACCTACAAAAACCAAATGGAGTTGCATGGATATCAAGATTCAGTGAGATGCAGGGTCTTTGCTATCACCCTGAAGGGCTCAGCCTTAGCATGGTTCAACAGACTCCCCCAAGCCTCGATTTCCTCTTTTAAAGAGCTGTTAATCTCGTTTGTGTCCCACTTCATCGGAGCTCAAACCTATAGGAAATCGAGCTACCATTTGTTAAATGTGAAACAAGGGCCTGATGAGAACCTAAGGTCTTATGTCCAAAGGTTCAACTCAGAATCCTTGAAGGTGGATGTCCCAGACGAAAAATTTGCTATTACAGCCTTCATAGCAGGTCTGGGAGTTCAGTCAAAAGATCTGATATTTTCCATCTCAAAGAACCCCCAGGCTAGTATGGCAGAGGTGCTTGCCAAAATAGAAAAGTACATAAATGGTGAGGAAGCGCTCCTCTCTAAGGTCGGGAGCTCTTTGTCGAGAAAGGAGAAAGGGAAGAAAGAAAAGAAGAGAGAACAAAGTCCCAGAAAGGAAAGAGAACGAGGCAGGTCTCCAAGAAGAGACAGAAAGCGTTCCTTGAAGAGAAGAAGAAATGTCAGGGATCGCCTCGGCCCTCCACAACTAGAGCTACAACCAAGGTATGCACCCCGACAGCTCACCCCTCTGACTGTTACGGTGTCTCAGATACTGTATGAGGTGAAAAATGAGAAGTTCTTAAGGTGGCCACCCCGGATGAAAGCAAACCCGAAAAAAGGGATCCTACGAAGTATTGTGGCTTCCACAGAGACCATGGTCATCACACCGACGACTGTATCCAATTGAAGAAGGAAATAGAATTTCTAATCCAGCGAGGGCAACTGCGACGCTATGTGGCCAATGATGATCAAAATCGAGCTCTCCCACCTCCACCCTTAGCATCAAGTACCAGAGCCACACCAGCAACCTATGGGGGAGATCAGAGTGATATCTAGAGGATTTGCCGGAGGAGGAGGGTCCAGCTCTGCCAGAAAGTTCCACTTGCGAAAAATCAAAGCCACAGAAGCTCCCGAAGTATATATTGTGTCTAAGTCTCCATGCTTAGACATGGCTATCACTTTCTCAAATTCAAATCTCGAGGGCTGCCAGCATCCCCATGATGACCCTTTGGTGGTAAGAACTATGGTGGCCAACAGGACTGTCCATCATGTTTTGATTAACAATGACAACTCGATAAACATCATTTTTGCTTTGCTTTCGACAAAATGGATATAGGAAGGAAAAGCTTGAACCAGTAAGTGCCCACCTATTGGGATGCTCAAGAGAAAGGGTGTTGCCCCTAGGGTCAATCCAACTCATCTTGACCTTAGGTGACCCACCCTGTCAAACTACAACAACTATGAAATTCCTAGTGGTTGATGCACCTTCAGCATACAATATGCTCCTTGGAAGACTCTCGCTCAATTCTCTAAGGGCTATTCCCTCTGCCTATCACCTTGTAGTGAAGTTTCCAATAGAAAACGGAGTTGAAGTGGTCTGAGGAGACCAGCGCGTAGCACGGGAATGCTACATGACATCCATGAGAAATAAGGAGGTTGAGAACATCCAATTGGATGAGCTTGACATGAGGGATGAACTCGAGACCAGGCCAATACCATCAGAAGAGCTGGAACCTGTTCAAATTGATGAGGAGCCAGAGCATCTTGTTTATGTTGGATCTAAGCTGAGCAAGGAGATCAATGATCTCCTCATCCAATTCCTGAAAAGGAATAAGAAATTTTTTGCATGGAAGCAAGAGGACATGAAAGGGATTGATCCCTCTGTCATCACTCACAAGCTCAGCGTGAATCCAGCCTGTAAGCCCGTTAAGCAGAAGAGGAGGAGTTTCTCCCCGGAGCGTCAGAAAGTCATCAACCAAGATGTCAGCAAGCTCCTTCATGCGAAAGCCATTTGAGAAGTGAATTACCCAGTCTGGCTAGCCAATGTAGTCCTAGTCAAGAAGATAAACGAAAAATGGCGTCTTTACATTGACTTTACAGACCTCAACCGTGCTTGCCTGAAAGATAGTTTTCCTTTACCCCTAATAGATTTGATTGTAGATGCCACTGCGGGACATGAGCTCCTCAGCTTCATGGATGCCTTCTCTGGGTACAATCAGATCAGGATGGATCCCAGTGACCAAAATAAGACCTCATTCATAACTAAGCAAGGGACATACTACTATCAAGTGATGCCTTTCGGGTTAAAAAATACAGGAGCCACTTACCAGCACCTAGTGAATAAGATGTTTCAAAAACAGATTGGGACCTCCATGGAGGTCTATATTGACGACATGCTGGTCAAGTCATTGAAGGTAGAGCTCCACATTGGACACCTAGCAGAGTCGTTTCAGGTCCTGAGAGAATACAAGATGAAGCTCAACCCAGCTAAGTGTGCCTTTGGGGTGTCAACAGAAAAATTTTTGGGTTTTATAATTAATAGCAGAGGGATAGAGGCTAACCTAGAAAAGGTAAAAGCAGTGTTGGATATGTAGCCTCCCTCCAACACGAGGGAAATACAACGTTTAACCGGGAGAATAGCTGCCCTGAGTCGCTTCATTTTCAGATCAAGCGACAAGTGTTAGCCCTTCTTTCAAGTCTTAAAGAAAGCCTTTTAATGGGATGCTCGGTGTGAAGAAGCCTTCAAAGCATTAAAAGAATACTTGAGCTCCCCACCTGTCTTGGTAAGTCCGTTAGAAGGTGAAGTACTTACACTTTATCTGGCTGTCTCAGAGTTCTCAACCAGCACAACGCTATTAAGGGAGAAGGACAGAGCTCAGCAACCAGTTTACTACTGCAACCAAGCTCTGAGGGGGGCAGAAAAAAGGTATCATAAAATGGAAAAACTCATTTTAGCCTTAGTGGCAACTGCCAGGAGACTAAGACCCTATTTCTAGGCTCATACTATCGAAGTCCCAACAGATCAACCTATGAAGCAAGTGCTGCACAAGCCAGAATCTTCGGGGAGACTAATTAAATGGGCCGTTGAACTTAGCGAGTTTGACATCAGATACAAGCCAAGGACAGTCATTAAGGGGTATATATTGACAGATTTTATTGCAGAATTCACAATTGGGATACCTGCAGAGACAGCACAGTTAGTATATGACCTCCCCACGTGGAAACTTTCAGTTGATGGAGTTGCCAATGCTCAGGGCAGTGGAGCTGGTTTGATTTTGACTTTTCCTGATGAGATAGATGTTGAATACGCACTGAGATTTGGATTAAAAACTTCAAACAACGAAGCCAAGTATGAGACAGTCATAGCAAGGCTCAGCTTAGCTAATTCAACGGAAGTCGAGCAATTGGAGATCTACAGTGACTCACAACTCATGGTGAAATAGATAGAGGGTGCTTACGAGGCTAAAGGGGAGAAGATGACCCTTTATCTTAGAAAAGTTCAAGAAGTGATCAAAACATTTATACAAGTGAAGATTCGGCATGTTCCTAGGCTGAAAACTCGAGGGCAGATGTCCTAGCGAGGTTGGCAACAGCTTCGCAAGAGAATCTGGGTAGGTTAATTCCAGTGGAACACCTAGCAGAACCCTCTGTGTATATTGAGAATGAAGAAGTTTTTCCTGTGCAGAGTCTAACAAGCTGGATGGACCCCATCATGGAGTATCTCTAGAATG